ATAAAAATACTGTTATGAAAACTAAATTGTGTTTTATTCTAATGACTGTAAGTAGAAGTACTGCGAGCATGATTAGGATTTGAATTTAGACACATATAGATGTCTGATGTCATTTAACTTTTTAATTTGATTTTTATAAAATAAAAACCCTAAAAGCACAGAGTAATCGGGAAGTTTTAATTGTTTTTAATAGCAATTTTCATTCTCATAGTCTTACCTCCATATTTTGGGGCTATGTCTTGATTCATTTCGGAATGGAATTTTCATTCTGCTGTGTACTCAGATTATTTTTAAGTTACTCAGTACATAAAGTATTACTACCAAGATAAATTAAATACAGGTGACAAATTGTAGTAGCTATAGAAAGGAGATCTTCAGGTAGCAGAATGAATCTTCAACTGGCAGATTAATGCTCTTTCAACATTTCTAAAATTGAACAAATTTACAATCTAATCATCAATTCTTTTCTACTAATGTGCAGGGACCTACTACCGGACATAGAGGTACCCACAATTTCTCCCAACCTAATGGAGCTAATGATTTAATGGTAAATCAGCATTTTAAAAACAAAAGCTAGTACAGGCAGAACATAAGCTCATCATCCTCTAGAAGATGTGACAAAACCATGGAGCCTACTGTAGTCAACTTCACAATAAAGTTCATCAAGGAAAAATCTCCAGGACAGTATAAGCTAAGGTCAGAAGAGTGGTGCAGATAGCAGAAAGTAAAGTCCGGTGAGCATTTGTAGGAAAGCAGAGAGAAAAATCATTGTAGCCTAGATAGATTGAAGCCTGCTGTCTTAGTGAATGAGGTAGGGATGGAACTGAGTTTATGAGAAATGATAGAGGGTATGTATTCAGAGGATTAAGTATTAATTCAGGAGAGACACTTGAGATCATACACATAAATATCAAATCACATGTTTTGAAGTAGAAAAGTGGATATGAAATGCAGATTGGAATAGTATGGACTTTTGGGGGCAATATTAGGTAGTCCACTTGGGCTGGATTCGTGGATTTGGATGGTGTATCATCAGTCTTTGCTGTGTAGAAAACCAACCCAAACTCTAGACTTAAAACACAAATATGTGTTTGTTTTTGATCCTATGGGTTGCCACTTTAGGATAGGCTTAGAGGGAAGTTCCGGACTCACTCTTGGGCTGCAGACACTGGTCTGGACTGTGACCAGGTGTTCTAGGGTGGCTGGCTGTATGTTGGGCAGTTACAACTGTTGGTCACACACTTTAGTGCAGTGCATGTACTTCCCACATGAGGAGTGTGGACAAATGACTCAGCGGTTTTTTCTGTGACACATACTTTCCAAAGGCTGATGCAGCACAGGAGAAATTTCAGAAAGGGCCCAGGAGATTAAATATTGGGTCAAAATCTACACGATGACAAATACGAATGAAGCAATGGTGGACTTGTAGATTGGTGAATTATATTAACGAAAGTTTAGGCAATAATGTTGATGTTGTCAGGATCTAACCAACATTGCTGAGTACAGTGACAAATGTAGATAATGACAATTCATTTCAAGGAAACAAAGTCAACAAACACCACCCCTCCCGACCTCCAAATACTCAGTGTTTGATAATTCTCAGTTCTGAGAATTACTAACATGTCTTTAGCAAGGTGATGGCTATATTCAGAGTCAGAGGCAAATTTAGGAAGTTTGTTTTATTTCAGAATTGATGTCTCACTTTCCTACAAAAGTCCTTATTCCTTATTGACATGATATATCATGTATCGCAGGCATAACAGTAAAAACTTTACACATATAATATGGTTAAAATGTGTGTCCTCCCCTAGGCTAGTCCATTTTATCTTTCAGTTTTATGTATGTCTGCCATGTTGTTGACGTCTCCCATTGTCCAGAGGTTCATAGGTGACTGAATCATACATAACTCTCTAATATCAGGTCTGAGACAATAAGTAAAATCAAATGAAGGCATCACGCAGCTTTAAATTGTTTGGTTTATTACTAAGAGTTCAAGGACTTTCTGACTCACCCAAATATTTAAAAAAGGGATAGCCAATATTGATAGTTAATCCCGTAGTAGATGAAAGGCACATGCTCTTAGTGAAGAGCTTATTGTGTTTATTTTTATGGCAGGAACAGGGGAAGAAAATGGGAGAGCCAGGACCCATGTACCATAATCTTAGTCTTCAGGCCTCTCCCAGGTCATTATCCAGCCCTGGAAGTAAGTGTTGGGTGATGTAGAGGTCTAAATGGTAAAGCTGTTGAAATCATTTTAGTTGAAACTTTGGTTCTGCATACATTAGATATTTGATTTTTTTTTTAATTCTCACCCAAGGACAGTCTCGCATCCATCCTTAGACAGAGGAGGAGGGAGAAAGCGGGGAAGAGAGAGAGAGAAACATCGATGTGAGAGAGACAAATCGACTGGTTGCCATCCACATGACCCCAACCGGGGCTGGGGATAAACTGCAACCGAAGTACTTGCCCTTAGTGGGAACCAAACCCGGGACTCTCTGGTCTGCAGGCTGACGTTCTAACCGCTGAGCCAAACTGGCCAGGACTAGAGATTTGATTTTTTGTATGTAAGAAAATGTCTTCATAAAACATATTCACAAACTTTTAGAGTATAATAACTTTTTTTTTTTTTTAATTTTTTTTTTTTTTTTATCCTCACCAGAGGACATTTTTCCATTTTTTGTTCAGGTAGAGTGGGAGGGAGAGAGAGGAACAGAGAGAGAGAGAGAAACATCGATGTGAAAGGAACACATCGAGTGGCTGCCACCCGCACGACCGACCAGGGCCGGGGACAAACTGCAACCGAGGTACGTGCCCTTAGCGGGAACCGAACCCGGGTCTCTCCGGACCGCAGGCCGACGCTCTAACCGCTGAGCCAAACCGGCCAGGGCGAGTATAAATAACTTTTAAAATTAAGTTATGTCTGATAGTTTATTTACAGACTAAATCTGCATTTTAGACCAAGTTGTTTGCTTGTTCAAACTTTGACCTTATTGTAAGACATAAGTAGTGAACAGAACTATTTTTTGTCATTGTTAATCCTTATCCAAGGATATTTTTCCATTGATTTTTAGAACGAGTGGGAGGGAGGGAGAGAGGGAGGGGGAGAGAGAGAGAGAAAGAGAAAGAGAAAGAGAAAGAGAAAGAGAAAGAGAAAGAGAAAGAGAAAGAGAGATGTGAGAGGGACACATCAATTGGGTGCCTCTCTCACTATCTAGAGTGGGGCCAGGGATCAAACCTGCAACCCAGGTACATGCCCTTGGCTGGGAATCAAACCCAAGACCCTTCGGCCCATGGGCCGACGCTCTGGCTGCTAGGCCAAACTGGGCATGGCTGAACAGAACTATTTTTATGTGTGATATGAACAAAATTGCTTTTTTTTTGAAAAGCAAGATGTGAATTGGTTAAACTTGGTATTTTTACTCATCTAGATCGAGAAACGGTACCATTTTGCTCATAGGTTATTTCTGCCTTTTATACATGTAAAAGATAATAGCTTTGTTGTGAACCATTAGCAGCAAGAAGACTTTTAAAAATTTTTTTAATTATTTTTGTTACAGATGTTTCTCCTTTTTCCCCATTGAAGACTTTTTATTTTTATTGAATTTACTGGGATTACATTGGTTAAAAAAAATTATAGGTTTCAGGAGTACAATTCTATAATACATCATCTTTATATTTTATTGTGTTTACCTCAAGTCAAGAAGAGGGAGACTTTTTTTTTAGTTCTTATAGTGTTTCAGTGAGGTTAAGCCATCTCTCTCTTTTTTAAAAAATATATGTTTTTTATTGATTTTTTCAGAGAGAGATGAATGGAGAGAGAGATGGAAACATCACTGTCAGAGAGAAACATATTGACCGCCTCCTGCACATCCCTGCTGGGGATCGAACCCACAACCCGGGCATGTGCCCTGACCGGGAATTGAACCGGGACGTCTCAGTCCATGGGACAATGCTCAATCCACAAAGTCACACCGGCCAGGCTAAGCCATCTCTTTTTGACAAACTCAGTCAGAAGAGTCCCTTGGAATTTTTGTTTGGAGCTTAGGACATCTTATTTTGGTTTTTATATATTTTTCAAATATTGCCATTCAGCATTAATTTTTTTCTCTAAGTGTGATCTAAAAATAATAACATTTTTTCAGAAGGGTAATGGGAAGGGATGAAGGAAATGTCTTAAAGACAATATTGATATCCACTATTTGGTAAATTTGAACTATATAACTTGACAATCCCTCTCTTGAATTGTTATCAAAATGTACTGCTTAGAAATATATAACAATTTCTTCTTTGCCGGTTTTATTGAGATATAATTGACATAGGCGCACTGTATAAGTTTAAGATGGACAATTTGACTTACACATATGGTAAAATAATTGCCCCAGTACATTTAGTTAACATCCATCAGCTTATATAGAAACAGAAACAAGAAACAAAAAGAAAAATATGTATTCTTCCTTGTGATGAGAACTCTTGGGATCTACTCTTTTAGCTTAGAAATATTTTTAAGCATTCAATAAGTTATAGAATCAAATGTAATAAAAATTTAGAATTAAAGAAGTCTTGGCAAAAATAACATGTCGAAACTCATCAGCCTGTGTCCCAGCGATAAGGAATTCCCAGTGTGTGTGGGCACCAAGGCAGGCATGACTAATGTAGCCTTGAATTCGAGTGACTGACCCAGCTGACTTTCCAGAGATGGGAGCCAAAATCAGTTTTAAACATCTACCTGGATATAAACACCCTCTGCAAAGAGAAACATCTTTCCTGCCAAGTTGGGAAGTTCAGTGCTCTTAGAGGAAATTGTATGGAATAAGACCGAAAGCATATTGCCATTCTAATCTTACAAAGGCACAGAATTTGAACACTGGGTGCAGTTGAGCTTGAACTCTCTCACTCTGGTCCCAGGTCGCGTCTTGTTTCCACCGCATCCTGTGCTCCTCCTGAGCCTGGGTGCCCGGAGCGTGCAGGTGCGTAGACCACGTGCATGTTTCCTTCTCCAGGTGTCACCAGAGGGTTGAGTATCACCAGTGCTGACCACATGATCGAAAAGGCCAAAGGGGAAACCGCCTATTTACCGTGCAAGTTTACCCAAGGTCCGGAAGACCAGGGACCCCTGGACATCGAGTGGCTGCTTTCACCAGCTGATAACCAGAAGGTGGATCAAGTGGTAAGTCTGCCGAGCGCTCGCGTACTAAGTGAGAGTCTGTGGACCTGGTCTTCAGTGCCCACCACTGCGCTGACCACATAGGTGTGGGGGCCACGGGAACTTGTGGGCCTTCTGAAAGTCCGGGTTGTAAAGTGTGGGCGAGTCAGGAAGTACTGGGTCAGGCATGATAGCATGGCAGACGTGCATAATCTGTGAAGGGACAGCGAGTAAGCTAGGCTTTGTGAAAAGTTGACAGACTTGAACTGACGTTGACACAAGGATTCTGACACCAGTTTAAGGGTCATCAAGTGTAGCAGTGTATTACACAGTTACAAATCATTGCAGAATCTGCTGGCCACATTCTTCAAGGTCAACATCCTGTGTAATGAATTTCTTTAAAATCAAAGCAGATTCTTCCTAGCACAACAGCAATTTATAAAATATTCAACTTGAAGCTTAAAAAGTTAAATATTAAACTACTGTTAAAAGATTTTTTTTTTTAAATCCTCACCCAAGGATATTTTTCCATTTATCTTTAGATGGGGGGCTGAGGGGTAGAGAGAATCATCAGTGTGAGAGAGACACATTGATTGGTTGCCTCCCACACGACCCCGACCCGGGCCAGGGGCTGAACCGCCCTTGCCCAAATGGAACCCTCAACTCCTTGGTCTGTGGGCCTACTCTCTAATTGCTGAGCCAAACTGGCCAGGGCAGAACATTTTTTAATTAAAAAATAAGAGCCGGTGTGGCTCAGTGGTTGAGCGCTGACCCATGCACCAAGAGGTCGCCAGTTTGATTCCCGGTCAGGGCACGTAGCCAGGATGTGGGCCAAATCCCCAGTGTGGGGCATGCAGGAGGCAGCCAGTCGATGTTCTCTCTCATTGATGTTTCTATTTCTCTCTCCCTCTCCCTTCCTCTCTCTCTAAAATCATTAAAGGAAAAAATACTTTTTTTAAAAGTAATAAGAGCCTAATGGAAAGCCAAAAGTAGCACAAAGGAGCAAAATTGCCCAATAATCTCACCTCTAAATAAATAAATTTATATGTATATCAATCACCCTTTGCCTTTTAATGGTACCAAAATATTTCACTTAAGTTAGAATGTTGCATATTAGTTTTATCTGACACATTTAATTAGAAACAAAATCAATGTTAATAAATTATATTAGACCAGGGAGAGGAAAATAAGTCCACATATTTAGAGGAATATGACAATGCAATTGACCCTTGAACAACACAGGTTTGAAATGCACAGATCCATTATGCATGGATTATTTTCAATAAATGCTCTAAATGTATTTTCTCTTCCTTATGATTTCCTTAATAACATTTTCTTTCTCTATCTTTATTGTAAGAATACAGTATATAATACATATAACATATAAAATTCCTGCTGATTGACTGTGTATGTTATAGAGAAGGCTTCCAGTCAATAGTAGGCTATGAGCAGTTAAGTTCTGGGGCAGTCAAAAGTGATATGCAGCCCTGGCTGAGAGGCTCAGTTGGTTGTCCCATGCACCAAAAGGCTGCAGGTTTGATTCCCAAGGTTCAATTCCTCATCAGGGAATATACCTAGGTTTTGGATACAGGAAGCAACCAATCGATGTTTCTACCCACTATTCCCCATCTCCAAAACCAATAAAAATATATTCTCAGGTTACGATTAAAAAAGAAAAAGTTATATGCAAATTTTTGACTGGGGGAACTGGCTACTGTATCCCTAACCCCTGTATTGTTTGAGGGTCAACTGTATATATAAATATATTTAGAAGAGAAATGTTTTTCTTATTTATGGTCCATATGAAAGAAGGGGTTATTCAGCCATTAAATGGTGCACTTGGGTAATTACTATTTTTGGCAAATTCGGATGGTTTGCCCATGATGTATTTGTGAAGGAAACAGCGTGCTTTCCCGCGTTGAGAATGACTAGGGCCACCCCCACCCCCCACCCCCCCAAGGACACACCTCTGCCCTGATTCTGCTGCTGGAAATTTCTTCTGTCTCCCTAAGCAAAATAAATTGAAATTGACTCATCCTGTATGCTCAGCCCTGATGCCCTGTTTCCTCCCTCCTCCTCTCACCAACACCCCCTTCGGAGGCAGGCCAGCACCCTGGACACAGGCTTCTGCCTGAGGGCCTGCCTACCCTCCCCCTCGGCAGCACAGTGCCAGCTCCTCTCAAGTCCGCTCTCATGGCAGGGTGAGTGGATGGACAGCGTAGGTCCTAAATGCTTCTGGCTTCAGATATGAGTGAAGCCATACAAAGTGCTTCCAGAGACCAAGAAGCCCGGTGTGTGTCCATAGTCTTGTGTGTCCGTTCATGGGAGGCGTCCCGAAGTCTTCTGTGCTGAGTGGGAGGCACAGCCTTGCTTCCTGTAGGACTTGTGACACAGCAGAAAACGAGGGACTGGGTTTAAGTGTCCATTTGTGGGTTAAAAACCAGCCTTGTTGTGTTCAACAGTGACATCAGGCCGAAAGAAAGCTAGAAGGCTTGGGGAGAGATTGGTGCGGAAGAGGATGCTTACACAGAATCAGCTACATTGTGTTCGCTGAGCCCTTGCTGTAGTGTATTTAAGCCAGCAGGCAGTGGGCTGGAGAAATGGCCATCCTTCCTCCCTGTGCGATCTCTTTAGTCAGCAGTGACCATGTCCCGTGTACTGACTGTGTGCTCTGTGGTGTTTCATATACGTTAATTACGTATATTTATTTAAGCCTTAAAACAACACTCTAAAAGGAGAATTACTGTTTTACACGTGAGGAGGAGAAAACGGAGGCCCAGAGATTTGCAGGAACACTCCCAAGGTCACACAGCCGGTAACGTTGCAGCTGGGGTTTGAACCCAGGTTTCCTGGGTCCTCCCACCCCTTGCACCTAATTTCCTTTGCACTGTTCTGTACTGCCTCCCATGTTCCAGAAGCTTCTGTTTCCTCAGGCGTAAAATGGGAACAAATGCACCTACCTTTCAAGATCATAATGAGGATTTTCTGAAATACTGTGTGCATAAGTATTTTGTAAGCCTACAAGTCATATAGAAATGTTAATAAAGTCAACTTTACTAAAGTTGCCAATTCAGTTGCATCTCAGCTGTGTGACTTTGCAGAAGTCCATCTGTGAGAGCTACCGCTTTCCGGGGTGAAGGATACGTGGGGTGAGACTACATCCTGCAGGGTTGTGAGGAGGGACCCAATGTGCCCAGTAAATGTTGGCTCCCCATTTCTTTTTTTTTATCCTGACCCTAGGACACTTTTCCATTTTTTGTTCAGATAGAGTGGGGGGGGGGGAGAGAAACATCAACGTGAAAGGGACACATCTAGTGGTTGCCACCCGCACGACCCAACCAGGGCCGGGGACAAACTGCAGCCAAGGTACGTGCCCTTAGCGGAAACCGAACCCGGGTCTCTCGGGACCGCAGGCCGATCCTCTAACCACTGAGCCAAACCGGCCAGGGCAGCTCCCCATTTCTTTTTTCTTTTTTTTTTTTTTTTATCCTCACCCGAGGATATTTTTCCATTTTTTGTTCAGATAGCGTGGGAGGGGGAGGGGGAGAGAGAGAGAGAGAAAGAGAAACATCGACGTGAAAGGGACACATCGAGTGGCTGCCACCTGCCCGACCAACCAGGGCCGGGGACAAACTGCAACCGAGGTACGTGCCCTTAGCGGGAACCGAACCCGGGTTTCTCTGGACCGCAGGCCGATCCTCTAACCACTGAGCCAAACCGGCCAGGGCAGCTCCCCATTTCTTAACTGTCGTTTATGACATTATTTTTGTGGGAAATACTACGATAGTTTACAAAATAACTGACAGCAGGAACACACCTTATTTGTCAGGCCTTCCTTCTTCAAAAGACTCTAAAGTGTGTGTGTGGCAAAATGAGGGGTTGAAAGTACAGAACATTGAACTTCCTGGGGATTCCTTAGTGAATAAACACACAGGGGGAGCTCTCAGGTTCTGTTGACGAGTAGGTGTGGAAGGAGAGGGAGCAAATGGCTGTGTTTACAGAGGAAGTCCGCCGGGGGCCCTCCAACTGTTTACTTAGCACACTGCGCTCCAGTGCTTCCTAGAAGCAGACACTGAACATGTAAATTAAAGATCTTTAGAGAGTTAGGAGTGGGGTCAGCGTAGGGAGGTGATGACACAGACGAGAAGCTAAGTCCCAGCCTTCAAGAAATTCCCAGAGGACATTTATTCTGATTGTACTGTTGTCCATAATGAACGTCTCAGATAAAAAAAAAACGTTTGCAGAAGGTAGACTGCAGTCGTGTTTTCTGAGTATTCTTTGAGTTGAGCAGCTCTGCCCTTTGGCCCTTGGGTCTCAGATGATCCGAATGAAGTGTTGTGTTAGCAAATGTGAAAATTCCTGAAGCATGTAACTTAATTTTAGTTGTAATTAGAGGTGACTATTATAATTCTCTTCCAAGTCAGGTTTAACACAGAATCCCCCCCCCCCCCTAAGTTTAGCCTTTAGTTATTTCCATTACAGTCTGTAACTGGCTCAGAAAACTCAGTGGAAACAGGAAAGGGTCTTTGATCTTTCTCACAGATTAATTGAAAAGTCCTGAGGTTTGTTTTACGATTTTTATCTATTAGAGTCTAGAACCCTCAGTTATTAAATATTAACCCTCCAACTTAGTATTAAGATAAATGTCTGTTTTTGTTTGCGGGAGAGTGTTTTTTTGTTTTTGTCATTGTTAGATTTCACAGGTAAATTATCACACGCCCTTTTTTGGGAATGGTGGTGGTATATACTTGATTGGTAGCCGAGAAACAGTGTATAGAATTCAGAAACCTGTGTTTTTGTCCAGTCTCATGATCTCACGAACTCACTCTTACACAGGGTTACATTACTTAATCATGTTGAGTCCTAGTTTCCACATTTAAAATGACAGCGTGTGACCATGCTCAAGGGTCATACTGATCTCTTTTTGTTTCCAAATCTGTGATCTGAATAAATGTAGGGTTCCTTGCAGTAAGTGTTCTTTGGGCGGGGGCATCCCCTCAGTGGCATGGTGTACCCAGAGCTCCTTTAATGAGACAAGTTTTGCTTGGTTGTTGTTTTCCTGGCTTATTTTGGCTTTCTTTTAGATTATTTTATACTCCGGAGACAAAATTTATGACGACTACTATCCAGATCTAAAAGGACGAGTACATTTCACAAGTAGTGACCTCAAATCCGGTGATGCGTCAATAAATGTAACAAATTTACAGTTGTCAGATATTGGCACATATCAGTGCAAAGTGAAAAAAGCCCCTGGTGTTGGAAATAAGAAGATTCAGCTTCGAGTTCTTGGTAAGTTATTTTTGTTAATGTTACTTATTAACAGGGTGAGTCATCAGACAGGATAGTGGCAGCATTCATGTGAGAGGAAGCTTAGCTGTTAGAGTAACAGTTTAAACATTTGAAGTAATTCTGTCCTTAAATAATATAAAACATAAAGCTAGCCTATTTTTTGGATCAAAAAAATATGTGACTAGTTGCTTTGTGAAACTCATAAAAGTGTTTGAAAGTACATTGAAGAGGCTCTGTGATATAGAAACAGAAGCCTGAGCCACGAACTGGGGATCCAGGTTTTGTTTTGGTTTTGGTGGTGTCCTCAGAATTAAAGAGTATCTGTATTTCCTTGGCTTCAGCCTACCTCTGTGAAACATTGCAAGATGTAATTAGCATTAAATCTCTATTTGATCTCATTCAGTTCAGAATTGTTATATGTACTGGAAACTTTTTCAAACTACATTACCCAAAGAATATATGAGGTTTCAAAGTTGACTGATTGGAGTATTTAGAATGGAGGAAATCGGTCTGGTAGAAGGAATATTGAGTTGGCATAAGACCCTTAGATGTCAGATACATGAGCATCACAGTTTTTCATTCTTAAAGTGAGGGGATTAGCCACATGGTCACTAGGATGTCTTGTAGCTCTCCCTAGGATAGTTAAGGAGGAGATAAGTGTAAACTTTTTGTAAGCTGTTAAAGACTGCACAGTTTACTGTCCTTCTCTAGATTCTGTGATCATGCACAAGCACCCTTAATCCCTTCAAATGACAAACAGAATTCCTCTTGTTTTAGAAAACCACTTAGGGGTTAAGCATTTTAGATACCAGATTCATTTTGAACATCAATCTTTTATCTCTCTCTTTTTTTTAAATTATTTTCTTTATTGATTTTAGAGAGAGAGGAAGGGAGAGGTAGAGAGAGGTAGAAACATCGATGAGAGAGAACATCGATTGGCCACCTACTGCATGCCCCCACTGGGGATCGGGCCCACAACCTGGGCATGTGCCCTCACCGGGAATCAAACCAGCGAGCTCTTGGTGCGTGGGTCGATGCTCAACCACCGAGCCACACCGGCCAGGCAAACATCACTCTTTTCTAAAAGGTGAATGTCAGAGCAGACACAAGGACAGTCTCCGTGCACTGTGGTGGCCTGTGCCCGCGTGCTGGCTGTGTTGGTGGTGAGGGTAGCCTTCTGCTGGCAGCGTCACCGAGTGGCACCCGGCATCCTGGTAAAGCTGCTTCATCTAAATGGCACCCATCCCAAATATTTCCTGTGGAATGAAAGCAAGTGAACCTGAACGAGGACCAGGAAAAGGACTATGATAACATCGAAAATTCTAGCTTTCTCTGATGACATTCAGTAAACGTGGAGGTACCTTTCTTTTTATAAATGTAGAAGCAGGTAAAAGTTTAGTAGGTTGTCTGAAGTCATGTCTCAGACCCAGGCATATCTGGGATTATAACCCTGACTATGTATCTTCTTTTAACACTACTCCAGAAAACACTGAGTTAAGATATATATGGAATTTTAACTGGTTCATGATGTACCAAGCAGAGTATACCAGTTTATCAGAATATCAGAATTCTTTATTGTGAAATCCCTGTTCGATGGGGCACGTACACTGGGAGGGACGCAGTTGGCACATATCCCCAGAAGAGGTGTGGACAAGCTCAGTGTGCTTGTGTGCGCGTGCGTGGGGTGGGGGGGAGATTCTGCAGGACCAGGTTCCGGGTTGGCTTTGCAGCTGACCACGGAAGGAATCTTTGTAGCACAAGGCCGCACGTATCCCAGAAGGGACCGAGGTTGGACAGTAGCATGGCCAAGGCACTGAGGGCCGCGGCCATGACTGTGGGCCAGGGGGATGGCACTTCTGCATTGAAGTCACAGTCCTGACATCTGGTTCCTCAGAGTGGATCAGTGGGAAGCGCTGACTCTGACATCTTTCCTTACCTCCGTGGGGAATCACCGTGGCCAAGTAAACCCTGGATTCAGACCAGGGAAGGGGAGGGGTTAGCTGCAGGGTACGAGGAAGAAGCGGGAATGAGTGCTGACAGGAAGGGGGGGACCATTCCTCTGATCCCCTGGGTGTGTCTCAGAGCCGGAGAATTTGGTAGTGCTCCACTGCATGCTTTCAGATGAGTCATGCAGGGGGAGAAACCACTGTAATTCCTTGAAAGAGGATTGAAGGACACCCAACTGTGAAGTTCTGCTTCCAGCGGTTCTCAGCCTGGGGTCGAACGACCCTTTCACAGGGGTCGCCTAAGACATAACAGTAGCCAATTACAGTTATGAAGTAGCAATGAGAATAATTGTATGGTTGGGGGTCACCACAACATGAGGAGCTGTATTAAAGGGTCGCGGCATGAGGAAGGTCGAGAACCACCGCGTAGACCGTCTAAGCAGGAAAGACCGTGCCGGGCGCTCTAGGGACCAGGCCAAGTGGCGGTCCAGCAGGCTCTTGCTTGGTTCACTGTCAGGCTCTGCACGAACGCTGCTGGGTCCGTGGGCATCTCAAGATGCCCCAGGCTGTCTGCAGAGGAATGAGAGCTGCTGCGTTGAGCCCGGGCGCTGTGTGGACGGGACCCGTGATGGCTGTTAGTGGCCCGGGGGTGAGGGGCGATGCTGCATGGGCAGGGCCTGCCCTGCTCTGTCAGAGGCGCCAGCCATGTGTGTGGGTACAGCTCAGTACTGCAGCTGGAAGGGGATTAAGAGAGAACCCACAGCATTCACCAGTACCGTGGCCACACCGGAGCCTTCGCCCACAGCTCCGGGAGGGCCCAGTACTGAGCCCTTTGGCAAGAACAGGCTGAGCTGTTTGGAGGAGGAGAGCATTCTCCGTGAACAGGTTCTTGGGCGTGTGCAGCACACGCCGCCAGCACACAGTGGGCCCCGCCTGTGTGGTGGCTTAGTCAACACGGGGGTTTGGAAGCCTTTAATATAGGGCAGGAACTCCCCCCCACACACACTTTTTATTCTGAAATAATTTTGGTTTTATAGACTGTTCCAAAAATACTAGCGTGTTCCTGAGAGTATACCCATCATCTAATTTCTTCTGTATTGACATTCCAAGAAATGAATGTTGGAACACAGTTTATTCTTATGTAATTTATTAATTATTGTATTATTTTCCATATGAACAACTGTAAACTTTCTTTGGCCCCACCCTGTACAGCCTGTTCCATGTGGGATTTGGAGTGTGTTTCCCGTAGACTGAGGTGGGCCGCTAGCCCGGAGGGGTGATGATGCAATGCGTGTCTCGGGCACTGGCCACGTGCAGGCTCATGATGCAATGCACCTTACCTGAGAACTACTAGCTGTGCTCAGGATCATGGACACAAATGTTCTGAGGACAACGTCCAGGTATTCTCGAACCCTAGATCAAAGAAACATTAGGGGATAAACATCTCTTCGTGGTTGTCTTTCTGTCAGCCAGGTGCCACGGATGAAGAATTAACCTTCCCCTAGTGTCATGGTTGGGGTTGGAAAGCAGGTGGGCCACTCCAGGGCAACACTCAGAAACCATTGTTGGTAAAATCTTGTTCTGTTGTGGATGGAGTTTGTTGAGATCTCAAACTCAGTGGGGCCTTGGATTTCCTGAGCGGTCACTTTAAGTAACTGCTCATTATTGGGTATGTTTGGTACATGGGAAGGGGCCATCTTTAGAAGAAAAGATGAGGTTTAGAGTGAGTCTGCTGAATTACCAGTAGATATTTGATGTACACAGCATTGCTCTCATGTCCCGGGGCCCTTTATGTAATAAAGGATTTATGGGTAGTCTGCAGAAATGAAGAACAAAGCTCATTTTGTTCAAGACACACAGGATGGTACCATTTGCAAAACTGATTAAATGTCCAATTCATGTAGTCTCCAGGGCAACTGATCAATCTGAAAAGGAGACAGATTTGCTTAGGAAATCAACAGTGCAGCTAAATGCATCTGTTGGTCCTTTTGAAAAAACACAAGTAGTAACAGGTGAAGGGAAGAAATACTATCAGATTGAAGAATTATCGAGAAGAATGTGAAGAAATGAGATCATGATTGACAACCTTGGTTAAAGATGCCTCACTGGACATGATAGATCCTATTGGTTAAATTTGGAAAACAGTTTCTTTTAGAGTTAAATATGCATATGCTATAGATGACCCAGCAATTACTGAGAAAAGGAAAACTTACCAATGTTTACATGAGTGTTCAAGCAGTATTGTTCATAATTGTTTATTTACGTTTATTCACAGTAGAGAAAGAGTAAAGGCTCATCCAGGACTGAATGAAAGCTCAGACTAAAAAAGAAAAAAAAAAGTAGTTCTGCCATTTCTCAGGCTGGGAGGACAGGTACACATCCAGCCAGCTGCAGAATTTAGAGGGGACATTGTTTCTCCCAAGGTCACGGAGCTGCAGTAAACTGCAGACTCCTGCTGTCTCCCTGGTGTTGCTCCCAGACCCACTCGGCACTAACCATCCTTTACTGAGGAGGGCACACAATTGCTAAATGGCCCTCGTCACCAGTTTAATTCCCAGTTCTCCTAATCCTGCCTCAGAAATGGCATTCAATTCAGAATCGATTTCTGCTTTCAGACTCTCCTAGAATCGTTCAGTCTCTCCTGTCTTGCCTGGTGACTTTCCACAGCTCCTAGTAGCGCCTTCCTCACTGGTCAGGCAGGCTGACTTTGACGACACACTGCTCCTGGTCAGTTTAGCAAATTAGGTTTTAACACTAACCCAAAGCCAGAATCAGTGTTCACCAAAAGATGAATGGATAACTAAATGTCACAGTCCGTGGAATACAACTCAGCAATAAAAAAGAATGATTTAAAAAAAAAATAGATGACATGGATCAATTTCAAAAACCTTACAACAACCAGCCGGTGTGGCTCACTGGTCGAACACCAACCCATACACCAAAAGGTTGCCGGTTCGATTCCCGGTCAGGGCACATGCCCAGGTTGTGGGCCTGATCCCCAGTGGGGGGCATACAGGAGGCGGCCAATCAATGTTCTCTCTCATCGTTTCTCTCTCTCTCTCCCCCTTCCTTCCTCTCTCTAATCAATAAAGAGAAAATATTTTTTTTAAAAAAAACCTTACAACAAATAAAGAGGCTAGATGAAAGTGCCTACTGCATCATTCCATTTGTGTGACTAATCTGTGGTGACAGAATCCAGTCTGTGGCTCCTGCGGCAGCCAGGTGGAGAGCGCAGTGACTGCAGCCAGCACGAGGGGGCTGGCGTGGGAGCAGATGGGTGTGCGCGTGTGTGGGTGTGTGTGTAAACAAGTTGTTGAATATGATCAAACCACACTATTAAATGTGTTCATTTTATTGTATGTATATTATGCTTTAATAAAGTTTAACAAGGAAGTATGAAATGCCAAGGTGCTAATTCAGTGTTGGGGGAATTTCAGGTAATAGGGTTAGCAGCTTCTGTAAACAGTTACCCACAGAGACCTGGAATATAGCCTCAGATTTACCTTTTTATTTATAATGCTGCTCTCTGGATGGTTTGGGGTTAATGTAAATGCAGAACATTAATTGGTCCAGGCTGCACCAAGGGAATCGTCCCTGTTATCAGCATTACTTATTGTAAACCCCCGATTGGCACAGTAATGGCAGCAGAGGGATGGGACATGGCACATACTCCCATGTCAGGCACGGGGTGGAGGAGCAGGTTAGGGATGGAGGAGGCAGCTTCCTGGAGTCTGACGAGGCTCAGCGCACATCATACTTGCTTTTTTTTCCAGGCGTGAGCACAGAGTTGTACCTGAGATGCTGCCAGACCTCCCTGTCCGGTGGCTGCTTGCCTGAGCCCAGTCTTGCCTGTTGTGTGTTGGTTACCGGTTGTAGTCATTCAGTCTGGTCAACTCTGAACCCAGAGCCATGTGATGATGAGCCTGTGGTTGTACAGCATGCTCTGTCTTTAAGTAATCGTAAATATAAATCCCATTCTTTTATGTAAAGTTATAACTTATTTTCTTTTCTCAGTTAAGCCTTCGGGTACAAGATGTTACATTGATGGATCAGAAGAAATTGGAAATGACTTCAAACTAAAATGTGAACCAAAAGAAGGTTCACTTCCATTGCAATATGAATGGCAAAAATTGTCCAACTCCCAGAAACTGCCCACAGCCCTGATAACAGGTACAGCTGATTAGACAATCGGTACTGTGTGCCACTGATCTAGACTGAAATCTATACAGAGCAATCAGGATTTTATAATGACAACTTACTGTCATATATATCTTTGTATAATAGTTTCACCGTTTTGGATTCTACAATTGGTTTCTTTGGTGTATGTTTTTTAGTTGAAGATAATACTATCAGAAAACGTTTGTGATCTTAACATTAATGACTAAGTTGTAACAAGCTGGATCTGAAAAGTTTCATGAGCCTAGATTCATGTTAAAGATACTGTAGTTTACACATGGTGTGTCTGTTAAAACAATAAGAAACAAAAACATCTGAAAAACACCTCTGTGACTTTAACTGAAAAGTTACATTATTAAATCCAATTGCTCACTTTGTTAAAATTAACCTATTATTCAAACTAGTCTCCACCCTCCCCACCCTGGTTCAGCAGGATTTCTCTGAACTTCTGTTTCTTTTTTCAAATTAAGAGCCAAATTTATCATTTGTATGACCCCTTCTTACTTTCTTTTGTATTTCTTCTATATGCAGGGCCAGTGGGGGGTGGGGTGGAATGAAATGGGTTTTGCAGACCTTCCTGCTGCACCAAAGAGCCTTTGTGGCGTGGAGCATGTTCATAGCCAGGGCAGCTCTGCACCCAGCGTCAGCCTCCCTCACTTTTGCCCGATTGTCAAACTTAGTAGGGTCTGCCTGTTCTAAAAACTCAGCAATCCTGTAAAAATGGGTTTTGCTCTGCCCGACCTTTCTTTTCATAGAAATGACTTCGTCTGTTATATCTGTGAAAAATGCCACTACCGAGTACTCCGGGACCTACAAGTGTACAGTGAGCAACAGAGTGGGCTCTGATCAGTGCCTACTGCGCCTGGACGTTGTTCCTCGTAAGTATCTTCTGTCTGTCTGTCGTGATGTTTGCTTCCCTTGTCTTCATACAGCCCCCTCTGGTTCTGTCAGCAAGTGTGTGTTGAGGGCAAGTGGATGCTGACTGTGAGCAAAGCACTCTGGGGCTCGGTTATGAGCTTTCCAAAGTCACAGAAAGGAAAGATTACATTTTATTAATAAAGCCTGCATAATTATAGCAGCATTAAGAAGATAAGAGTTGTCAAATCAACTTCCGTACCATATGTAGCCATTGTAAGTACGAGCTATTTGGAACATCCTTATATACCAGCTTAGATAGCTGGGAATAGTAAACTCTTTTAATCTGGTTTGATCATGTTTATGCTTGAAATAGATTATACAGTGCAAAAGAAAGTTCTTTTAGTGGATTTTCCCCTTGGACCGAAAAGCTAATTTTTGTCTCTTAAAGTTAATATATACAGTGAGATCAATCTGTCAGTCGTCAATATGACTGTAGTTTTTTGTTTTGTTTTTCACTACTAATTATTTTCCTATGACCACTTATTCCAGCTTCAAACAGAGCCGGGACAATTGCAGGAGCTGTCATAGGAACTTTGCTGGCACTGGTGCTCATCTGTATGATCGTCTTTTGTTGTCATAAAAAGCGCAGGGAGAAAAAATATGAAAAGGAAGTTCATCACGATATCAGGTAATTACGTGACACAAGAGCTGACTGATTGGTGTATACTATGTTTATTATGTCTGAAGCACTGGTTCTCTTAACCATCCAAAGCATTCATCCCTGTGAGAACTGGGTAACAGCTATAGCTCTTCCCCTCAACGCATTTGAAAGATTTTACTCTCCATTTCAAGTGTGTAGCTCCAGCCAGCCTCCACTGTGCCCTGCTCCCGGCCCCTCTCCAATTTTGCACCCTATTTTAAGAACCACTACAAGATGACTTATCTCAAAACTGTCTGCCTTCTCCTAATAAAGTGCAGGCATGACCTTTTAAAAAAGAAAGGACCAGATGTTGAGGTTTAAAAAAAGAAAATGACCTGATTGTATCTAGTGACAGAGGTAGTTTATAGAACTATTGATAATGTGATTTTATTATTTGTTTAAATATTCTAAACCAGTAGATCTTAACTAGAAGTGCATATTGGATTATCAAACTTTAAAAAATAATAATGTGCCCTGGCCTGTTTTGTTCAGTGGTTAGAGCATCAGCACACAGACCAAAGGGTTGTGGGTTCAATTCCAGTCAAGGGCATGTACCTGGGTTTCAGAAGGTTCAATCCCAGGCCCTGGTGGGGGTCGTGCAGGAGGCAACCAATCAATGTGATACATCTATGTTTCTCACCCCCACCCTTCCACTCTACCTAAAAATCAATAGAAAAATATTCTCAGGTGATGATTAACAAAAATAAATAACAATAATAATGTAACTAAATAACATCCAGGAAATTGACATTTGGTAGGTATGAGGTGGGGTCTGGACACTCCTATTTCTAGAGTTAACTCAGGTATATATTCCTTTTATTTATTTTTTGCTTAATCCTCACCTGAGGATATTTCACAATTTTTTTGTTGTTGTTGTTGGAAAGGAGAGAGAGAGAAAGCAGTTGATATGGGAGACACATCAATTTATTGCCTCCCACATGATCCCGACTAGGGGTCAGGGATCAAACCTGCAACCCAGGCACATGCTCCTGACCGGGAATCAAACCCGAGACCCTTCGGTCCACATGCTGACGCTCTAACCTCTGAGCCAAACCAGCCAGGGCTCAGATATATATTCTTTGTCAGTCCTTGGTATGAAATTCTTCTGCCTGAATTCCTACTTTTTGCAGACTTGAATCTGTTAAGTTTTCTGCTAAGGTCTTAGACAAGTAACTTTCATAACCCAAAGGCTATTTTTTTGGTAGAAATATATCTGTAGGTGTTAATGCTTTATCAGCTACAAAGTGTTACATGACTGTAATTAGATTACCTTGATTACTTGTACTGGAACATGAAATATTTGAGGTGTGTTCCTTGTAAGACAACATTATGGAATCATCCATTTTTGTGAAAACCGCCTTTCATTCCGTGCGAGGGCGCATACTCCGTCAGCGAGAACGAGGGAGCAAACACACAGTTGGTGACATTGCACTTTGTCGTTGTGCGGCGCACATATTTTATGTGCCTAATGCTTACCTAGCCCACACGTGTTCTTTGAGCTGTTTTGGGATCTTTGCTTCTCAGGGAAGACGTGCCTCCTCCCAAGAGCCGGACGTCCACCGCCAGGAGCTACATCGGCAGCAACCACTCGTCGCTGGGGTCCATGTCGCCTTCCAACATGGACGGCTACTCCAAGACTCAGTACAACCAGGTGCCCAGCGAAGACTTTGAACGCGCCCCTCAAAGTCCGACTCTCGCCCCCGCCAAGGTCCCCGCCCCCAACCTCAGTAGGATGGGGGCGGTGCCTGTGATGATCCCCGCCCAGAGCAAGGACGGGTCCATTGTATAGGGCGGTGGCCTCTGCCCCGCCCCCTCTCCTGTTGAAATACCAGAACCTGTTCTGTTCTAAAATTTGCTGCCAGCCTCAAAGAAACAGTTTTTGTTTGGTGTTATCGAAATAGTCAGGGCATTCAAGTTACTAAAGACAAATTCACCATCTGAGAAAGATTTCCTATAAGAGGTTGATTGTATAAGTTTCTAAATAATCAATACTTTGTAAGCTGTAGCACCTTGGATATGAAATTATAGTGGAAGATTTTGGTGAACTCGCATGCACACCAAGTTGATCCTTGAATCCCCTGAAAGTAGTAGCTTATATCTGCCGTTATTTTTAGGATGCCTTTCTCAATTGATGACCCAGGGTTGGTAAAGAAGCATTCATGGCAAAATTCTTATATACCTTTATGTTTGTTCTTGGAAAACTCTAAATGTGTTTGGAATCGCTCTACTCACATCAAAACACTACAGTGTTCTAGAATTTACTAGTTTTACTTTTGAGAAATTCATGAGCCTTGTTTATGAAATGATTTCTTAAGTATTTGATTGATAGACTGCTGCAGGCAACAGACTTGGCAAGCTCTTTTATATGTTAAAATAAAGGGGCGGCTGTGGATTTATTTAGAAAATTGGTTGTCAGCTATGTAGAGCCAGGGGTATGGATGGATTCCGGTGATGAGTAATCTGATCCCTGAGGCCTGTCGTGATCTTCCGAATGGTGACCAGCCAGAGCAAGGGTGGAGTATTTTGCATTTCCCAGCTAAATACTGGCTCTCCACTTTAGTTGCTATTTTTGTAATAAAAAAAAAATTATAACTCATTTATTATTTGGCAGATACAGATTGAAATTCCCTGTTGGTTCCAAATTTTTAAAAGTTTTTTTTTTTTCCAGTTCAGTGTTTTGTTCTTGTTGTTTTTGGATGGTGTTGCATGTTATATGTTCTAGAAACATGTAATCCTAAATCTGCCTTCCCGGTTGCAGTTCCTGAAGGATGTTCTCTTCAGAGACTCAGAATGACAAATACGTTTCAAGCCAGTGAGTCCTCCAGCAGTTCTGTCTTCCAGACGCAGTAGGGGCACAGTTGCTATTGTGTGGCCCACGTGTCTTTTTGAAAAGTTGAGGCTTAGTTTTGTGAAAGTGATTTTATTCTTTAAAAAAAAAAAAAAAAGGAAGAAAGAAAGGAAAGGAAAACGCCTAACTGCCAAATGTGTTAAATACTGTTTTAGTAGAAGAAAGTGAATTTATTGTATTTCTCTTAAGATGGTGAGGGAGTGTGGATATAGTAGAATGAGCCAACAGTTTCTTTATAGTCAATAAGGTCTGCAATAAATTATTTCCCTAGCTCCAAAACCTGTTCCCTAGATTTTGTAGGGAGTTGGTTTCTGTTCATCTCTTCGGGTGCTGTGGTGGTACATGCTGCATTATACATTAATGTCAGCGTGAATTTATTATTAGTAAGAGTATTGTGTATACTTTTTAATGGTAAATTTAAGCGGAATGTTTGTGTAATGGATTAGTGTATAGTTTTACATATTTGGAAGCATTTTTAAATAGATTTTTAACCTTACATAATATTGCTTTTATACTTGTGTTAACATTTTCATTTGTGCCTTTGGGGTAATTTAATTTTTATTAAGAATCTCTGGTGCCTATGAGCTCACTATCACCTGAAAGGTGCTTAGAGGTGAAGGTACTGTTCCTTAAAAAAGCATCACTGTGACACCTTTCTATCCTCACACACACAGTCTTGCCTCTTCTCTTCCTTTTGGATACAAGCTAACATTGTGTTATTCATACAGACTTTCAAATAGCAACTCCTCCAACACTCATTGATTGTGTTTCTGATTTTATAATAGTAACTATTTTTGATGTCTGGTCTGTTTTATATGAATACACTTATTTATACAATAGTATAAGAACAGCACAAACTTTAATAAACAACTTTTGGTCTTCTCTATTCGTTTTCATGTAATGAAGATTATGCTATCAATCTAACTAGAAATTACTACCAAAAATGGACGTGTGTAAGGTTTTCCTTGCCTTAGAGTCTGTAGTTGGTCTGGGATTTAGCTATTAGTCAGAATCTCTTCCAGAAATGCTTTTAGTTCAGGTCCACACCACCTGTACCCTGTGAAACGAGCTAATACAAAATCAGTTGTGTAACCTGAAGAGACCTATTGGGTGTTATGAAACTTAAGAGGACAGAATTCCATTTTAGGCTATGTCTTCAGCTCCTCTCATTTTAAATTTCTGTTAATCCAGAGTTCATTCTAATTGACTTCGTCAGGGATTCTCACTGATAATTTCATTTGAAGCAACGATCAAACATTTATTCTAGAAATATTATTGGTAATCATCAAACATTTAAAAAAAAAACGGTGTTCAAGCGTTTCCATGGGAGCTTAGCATCGGTCAGGCACGGCCCTGTGTCTTCCAGGCAAAAGCAGTGGATTCCACTTGACACCTAAGAGACTCGACACTGTCTTGTTGAGTCAGCCAGGATAACTTGAAAAGAAGTGATACCTTAGTTCTGTGCTTTGAATATGTAGTTTACAGGTGTTTACTTATTCTAATATTCCCATTAGAAGGAAAAAAAAAAGAAATCTGCCATGAAATTGTTACAGTGGAAATACAGCCAGAGTGTGTCTTAGGGGGAGGTTAATTCAAGAAACACAATTAGATTATCGGTATGAATTAATATCTGATTTTTATTAAAAAGATAATTTTCAAGATTGAGTTTTATAAATTAGGACTAAGTGAAGAGGCGAGTAAACCTTTTGATTAAATATCAAAAGAACTCATTGCATGAAGTTGGATATCGAATTCTGTGATGTATGGCATTTTAAAATAACCCTCTCTGTCCCTTTGTATGCGTGCAGCATGTAAATTTGAAGTTATGTGAATAGTTCAAGTTTTTCTTCATCTCTTTTCACCTCCACAGTGTTTAGGGCTTTCAAATGCCTTATTCCAGTGTGAACAGAAAATGTCCATATTATGTGGCTAATGCTTTGATGTGTCATGTAAGGGGTAGTTTGTAGAAAATGTTGGCACCATTTTAACTTCTTAGTGGCTTTTGTGACATTATATATATTATATATATATGTACATACATCTTTGTAATATTCTGTGTTTAGTAGTATAAATGTTCTGGGCAAGTTTTAATATTTCAAATGCCTTTGGATAGTCTTGCAATAAAGGCAACATAACATGCTCTGCAGTTGGATTTTTTACTTGTTTGCCTATTTTGACACTAAAATATGGTCCATCACTGAGCACAAATTCTACTTATTGTTCTAGAAGCAGGGAAGAATAATTTGTGAATTGCAGCAGTTCTGTTTGTCTTACAGATAGTAACACCAGCAAATATTTTATGCCTCTGGAGTCTTACTATTAATTAAAATCAAGTTTTACAAAGTGTCCTGTTTCGTAATTTAAGAGTGTGGAAAATGTTGGGTTTGGTTTTGGTCGTGAACACTAAAAGCTGCAATCAAGGGAGAACTTTGTGTTTTCTACTAACTTACTTAATAACACAAGTGTTCAGAAAACCACAATTCACCTATTCACTTATTCTCATCCCTAACTGTGAATTTTTATAATAAATACACATGTACTACTGAGAAAAACTATTTTAACACTTCACATATGCAAGTAGAGAATTGATAGTGTCAGTTTCAAAAATGACTTTTGTATTCTGGCTTAAATATCCAATGGTGCAGATTTTGAAATTTGTAAAAACAAATTTGGTTAAAAAAAGCAAGAACTTGCTCTAGTTTTGTGAACTTGTGTACTTTTCAAATAAAATTAAGAAAGTAGTTTCCTGCCTCATGGTGTGGCTTCATTGTGCTTCTTTTTTAAACCTACTTTGTAAAGCTTCAATATGATGTTCCTCCTTGCTTTTCTGAGTCCAGGTTTCCTTCCCCCACCCCTCGCATCCTTTATTAAACAGTAAAGATCAGAACAATCACACACCAGTGGAAATGTGAAACATACATCTGTGTTTCCCCACCTGCATTTATAGGACAGTGTATAACTTTATATTGGGGTTGAAACCTCCAAAGTTCTGCGATCATTTCAGTGTTTGCAGCATAAACTCAAAGCATTTTTCAGCTGCATTAAAAATGTGCATGCATATATGTATTAAACACATCTGGTTCTGTTTAAAGCTATTTTCATTGACTCTAAACATTGATTTCCAAAAAAAGCAGGGTAGGGTAGTAATGCGTCTATAAGGCGACTTTTTGAAGAATATTTTGTTTATGCTATAGTTTCTCAATCTTGGCACTTTTAACATTTTGGGTTGGGTAACCCTTTTCGGGGGGAGGGTGTCCTATGCATTGTAGGTTGTTTGATATCATCCCTGGTATCTACCTACTGGGTACCAGCAAGCACTTTTCCCCCCGTTCCCAGATGTGACAACCAAAAATGTCTCCAAATGTTCCCTGGGGTGGGGGACACAATGCGCCCCCCCCCCCCAGGTTGAGAACAGCTGGTTTATACTAACATGAAATTTTCTGCTGAGAGGTTTAAAGGAGAAGAGCATAAGCCTTAGAGCCACATGTTTGAACACCACTCATTACTAGATGCTTTATTAGCTTCAGTCTCCTAGTGCTGAAAATGGGAATAAAAACACCCACAGCACAGAGCATGTTGGACGGTTCTAAAGAAACAGAACTGATACAATGAAAAGTCTTTGTATTCGTTCCTGGTAGCTGGGATGCTGATAGCGATACACAGGTTTTCAAGGAACCAGTATTACAACAAAATATGCTACGTGAAACTACTGATTCTAATTTAATGCCTTTAACTTAGACCATATTTTAATCTTGCAGCTCTAAAGGCCAGATCTTATTTCTGGTTAATTAAATCCCAAATGGCAGAACTCATGAAATTGAAACAAAATTGAAGGAAGTAATTTGTTATTAAATAAAAGTGGTTTAGTTTTAAGTCTAAGGCATCATCAAGTTTAATTTCTAAATGCAATAAAGGCATCAGATTAGGAGGGCAGTCCTTAGAATTCAGATCAGTTTTTCTTGCT